CAGTGTCATCATCTGCATGGGAAGGAGGTGACTTCTGAGTCGACTCAAAAGCTAGACGAATCATGTCCGGTGTCATCATCTGCATGGGAAGGAGGTGACTTCTGAGTCGACTCAAAAGCTAGACGAATCATGTCCGGCGTCATCATCTGCATGGGAAGGAGGTGACTTCTGAGTCGACTCAAAAGCTAGACGAATCATGTCCGGCGTCATCATCTGCATGGGAAGGAGGTGACTTCTGAGTCGACTCAAACTAGACGAATCATGTCCGGCGTCATCATCTGCATGGGAAGGAGGTGACTTCTGAGTCGACTCAAAAGCTAGACGAATCATGTCCGGTGTCATCATCTGCATGGGAAGGAGGTGACTTCTGAGTCGACTCAAAAGCTAGACGAATCATGTCCGGTGTCATCATCTGCATGGGAAGGAGGTGACTTCTGAGTCGACTCAAAAGCTAGACGAATCATGTCCGGTGTCATCATCTGCATGGGAAGGAGGTGACTTCTGAGTCGACTCAAAAGCTAGACGAATCATGTCCGGTGTCATCATCTGCATGGGAAGGAGGTGACTTCTGAGTCGACTCAAAAGCTAGACGAATCATGTCCGGCGTCATCATCTGCATGGGAAGGAGGTGACTTCTGAGTCGACTCAAAAGCTAGACGAATCATGTCCGGCGTCATCATCTGCATGGGAAGGAGGTGACTTCTGAGTCGACTCAAAAGCTAGACGAATCATGTCCGGCGTCATCATCTGCATGGGAAGGAGGTGACTTCTGAGTCGACTCAAACTAGACGAATCATGTCCGGCGTCATCATCTGCATGGGAAGGAGGTGACTTCTGAGTCGACTCAAAAGCTAGACGAATCATGTCCGGTGTCATCATCTGCATGGGAAGGAGGTGACTTCTGAGTCGACTCAAAAGCTAGACGAATCATGTCCGGTGTCATCATCTGCATGGGAAGGAGGTGACTTCTGAGTCGACTCAAAAGCTAGACGAATCATGTCCGGTGTCATCATCTGCATGGGAAGGAGGTGACTTCTGAGTCGACTCAAAAGCTAGACGAATCATGTCCGGTGTCATCATCTGCATGGGAAGGAGGTGACTTCTGAGTCGACTCAAAAGCTAGACGAATCATGTCCGGTGTCATCATCTGCATGGGAAGGAGGTGACTTCTGAGTCGACTCAAAAGCTAGACGAATCATGTCCGGCGTCATCATCTGCATGGGAAGGAGGTGACTTCTGAGTCGACTCAAAAGCTAGACGAATCATGTCCGGTGTCATCATCTGCATGGGAAGGAGGTGACTTCTGAGTCGACTCAAAAGCTAGACGAATCATGTCCGGTGTCATCATCTGCATGGGAAGGAGGTGACTTCTGAGTCGACTCAAAAGCTAGACGAATCATGTCCAGTGTCATCATCTGCATGGGAAGGAGGTGACTTCTGAGTCGACTCAAAAGCTAGACGAATCATGTCCGGTGTCATCATCTGCATGGGAAGGAGGTGACTTCTGAGTCGACTCAAAAGCTAGACGAATCATGTCCGGCGTCATCATCTGCATGGGAAGGAGGTGACTTCTGAGTCGACTCAAAAGCTAGACGAATCATGTCCGGCGTCATCATCTGCATGGGAAGGAGGTGACTTCTGAGTCGACTCAAACTAGACGAATCATGTCCGGCGTCATCATCTGCATGGGAAGGAGGTGACTTCTGAGTCGACTCAAAAGCTAGACGAATCATGTCCGGTGTCATCATCTGCATGGGAAGGAGGTGACTTCTGAGTCGACTCAAAAGCTAGACGAATCATGTCCGGTGTCATCATCTGCATGGGAATGAGGTGACTTCTGAGTCGACTCAAAAGCTAGACGAATCATGTCCGGTGTCATCATCTGCATGGGAAGGAGGTGACTTCTGAGTCGACTCAAAAGCTAGACGAATCATGTCCGGCGTCATCATCTGCATGGGAAGGAGGTGACTTCTGAGTCGACTCAAAAGCTAGACGAATCATGTCCGGCGTCATCATCTGCATGGGAAGGAGGTGACTTCTGAGTCGACTCAAAAGCTAGACGAATCATGTCCGGCGTCATCATCTGCATGGGAAGGAGGTGACTTCTGAGTCGACTCAAAAGCTAGACGAATCATGTCCGGCGTCATCATCTGCATGGGAAGGAGGTGGCTTCTGAGTCGACTCAAAAGCTAGACGAATCATGTCCGGCGTCATCATCTGCATGGGAAGGAGGTGGCTTCTGAGTCGACTCAAAAGCTAGACGAATCATGTCCGGCGTCATCATCTGCATGGGAAGGAGGTGACTTCTGAGTCGACTCAAAAGCTAGACGAATCATGTCCGGCGTCATCATCTGCATGGGAAGGAGGTGACTTCAGAGTCGACTCAAAAGCTAGACGAATCATGTCCGACGTCATCATCTGCATGGGAAGGAGGTGACTTCTGAGTCGACTCAAAAGCTAGACGAATCATGTTCGGCGTCATCATCTGCATGGGAAGGAGGTGGCTTCTGAGTCGACTCAAAAGCTAGACGAATCATGTCCGGTGTCATCATCTGCATGGGAAGGAGGTGACTTCTGAGTCGACTCAAAAGCTAGACGAATCATGTCCGGTGTCATCATCTGCATGGGAAGGAGGTGACTTCTGAGTCGACTCAAAAGCTAGACGAATCATGTCCGGTGTCATCATCTGCATGGGAAGGATGTGACTTCTGAGTCGACTCAAAAGCTAGACGTCTCATGTCCGGTGTCATCATCTGCATGGGAAGGAGGTGACTTCTGAGTCGACTCAAAAGCTAGACGAATCATGTCCGGCGTCATCATCTGCATGGGAATGCACGGGGGAGCCTCGAAACAGCTTGCGCTTCATACAACTGCCTCTTGACCGCAAGTCCGACTCGCCGCGTCATCTTATACGAGAAACAGGTGTGTTCTGAGTCGAATAAAAAAACACACACAATTCTCACCTGCTGCATGCGTTGAATGTCTTGAGGAGACATGCGGCTCATCTGCTCCTGTGCAGGTGTGTTCTGAGTCGACTGAAAGCAAGAACACGCACGATTCTCACCTGCTGCATACGTTGAATGTCTTGAGGCGACATACGGCTCATCTGCTCCTGTGCCAGCCGAACCATCTCCGGATCCATGGCCGCCGGAGGAATCATGGCCGTCGGCTACGTCTGGCTGCACCAGTCCCGAAACGCGATGAATTCTGAAACAGCGATGTCACTTTTGAGAATCTCGAAAGTGACTCACGGGAGACGAATTTTGAAACGGTGGGGGGTCACTAGAGGAAAATCTGGAGTGGGAGTTGCAGTTACGGTGCACAACGTTATAAAACCGGGGTGCACATTCAGCTGAATGTGCATCAAAGGTTATCCCTTGACTGAGTGGGTTACGAGGTGTGCTTTCAACCCCTTCAAGTCGAAATTCGTTTCCCCCCTCCCCCGCAATTTTGTTTCCCCCCTCCCCCGCAATTTCGTTTCCCCCCCCTCCCGCCAATCTGTTTCATCCCTCCCGCCATTCGGTTTCACCCACTCCCGCCATTTCACCCCCTCCCGCCACCTACGAAATGCCCGAAGCTCTAGCGGAATCATTTTTTTGTCGCCCCTCGTGAGCCAATCACTGTTTTTCTCCAAACCCCCTTCCCAACATCTCAAGCCGAACCGCGTTGAATGTGCACCCTGGTTTTAAGAAAAGTGTGTCCGAGAATTGAAGTTCTGAATGAACGATGCAGTTAGGCTGTTCTGAGCGACGCCTTTCAGGGCGCCATAAAACTGTCGCGATGCGACATAAACTCGCGGTAGCAACTTCGCAAATGGAATCCAGTATTAACAGCTGGTGAAAGCCTGGTACTGTCAGCTAAACAAATGCCACGAGCTTCAGAATCTAGACGTAAGAGTAACTAAAGAACTGCTGGCCTAATAATCTGCACGCGGGGGTGTCTGTTTAGTAACTGGGAGAAGCAGAATCATTGGAGGCTGCTCTGAATTAGACAGGCAGGAACCTCGGAAACACCGCTTTGTGCATCTCGATTCTCGAGCATCGGATCAGAGCGTTGAATACGGATCTAGGAAACGCCGCAATATTAGCCCAAGACCTCAACCACAGTATGTGTACAGGACTGCTGACAGCGCGTGTCAGAAGTGGAAGATGGATTCGCTATAGCACGAGGAAAAATATAGTGTTATTACAGCATGGTACAGTCAGGGGTATTTTCCCCTCACAGCAAGATGAGGTGATTGTGAGCTTCCTAACACAATGCTGCTTCAAATTCATGGTAGAGCATGGCATTACAGCGATTGCAATACGCAAAACTAAATCACCACTCGTCGTTGTTTAACGACATGTACCCACTATATAAACGCCCATTGGTGTTCTTGAGCTCGTTAATCATCCTATTCCAATTTGACGCCAGGACGCCAACAAAATGGTCGCATTCCGAAGCGATAAGCAGGTTTGCAAAGCTGATCCCCACTGTACGCGCGAGGCCAAACATCTCCGTGTATTCCGACATTCTCGTTCCTGCTCCTTGCCTTGGAACCTCCGAGTAGAAAAAAGTCCAGTCCGTGAAGCGGCTTGACTGATCCACAACACTCTGCATGGCAGCCATAAGAAACACGGAGCAAGAACACGCTAATTTGCACCTAGGAAAATATAAATCATGTCCAAATTTGTGCTGCAAGCACCCTCTCATCTGAATCCTGCTGCCCCACCCACCTCTCTCCACCCTCGCCTGCATCGTTGCTGGGCCACTCGTATCGCACGTCAGGGTCAATGGATACCCTCTATGCATGCAATGGAAGCGCAACAGCCCATAGCTTCACATGCAGTTCTATGCCCCCTACTTCTCACCTGCGCCTCTCTGCCATACACCTCCCCCCCCCCCCCCCCCTCCATCCCTTTCCTCTCCTCCCTCCCTCTCCCCCACTCACCTGCATCTCGGTGCTGAGCCATGGGTATTGAACAGCGGGGAATCCTCACCGCACGTGGTTGGCCATGAACATGACAGCATGGAAGGAGGTCAGCCTGCGCCTCCCTCCTCACCTGCATGATTCCAACCCTCTACTCTGCGCCCAAATCTCCCCCACTCACCTGCATCTCTGTGCTGAGCCAGGTGCTCACCTCCCCCCCCCTTCCCTTTCCTCTCCTCCCTCCCTCTCCCCCACTCACCTGCATCTCTGTGCTGAGCCAGGTGCTCACCTCCCCCCCCCTTCCCTTTCCTCTCCTCCCTCCCTCTCCCCCACTCACCTGCATCTCTGTGCTGAGCCAGGTGCTCACCTCCCCCCCCTTCCCTTTCCTCTCCTCCCTCCCTCTCCCCCACTCACCTGCATCTCTGTGCTGAGCCAGGTGCTCACCTCCCCCCCCCTTCCCTTTCCTCTCCTCCCTCCCTCTCCCCCACTCACCTGCATCTCTGTGCTGAGCCAGGTGCTCACCTCCCCCCCCCTTCCCTTTCCTCTCCTCCCTCCCTCTCCCCCACTCACCTGCATCTCTGTGCTGAGCCAGGTGCTCACCTCCCCCCCCCTTCCCTTTCCTCTCCTCCCTCCCTCTCCCCCACTCACCTGCATCTCAGTGCTGAGCCAGGCGTATTGCACGGCGGGGAACCCCCGCCGCACCCGATTAGCCATGAACATGACTGCGTAGAAGGAGAAGAGCCGCATCTCAAACGACTTGTCGCCCTGCCGCACATGCACGCTCACTATCGGCCGCGGGATATACGGCTCCCCTCCCACCCCCCCGTAGTTCGCAAGATACGGATCCCACCCGTACTGCTCTCCTTCCAAATCTCCTACCCCCCCGCTTCTGCTGCTGCTGCTGCTGCTGCTGCTTCTGCTGCTTCTGCTGCTGTTAGCAGCACCAGTGGCATTCCCTAAGCTGCAGCCCTGATACCCCATCTTAGGCCTTGCAGTTGTTTCCAATTCCAGGGCCTGTTTTCCTCAAGATACCCCCACTGCCTCGTACCATATCCACTCGTTCCCGGCTGGTAACCATGCTTCCTTGGTCTTGGTTGCTTATTCTGGAACCTAATGCATCCGAAGCAAAAGGAAAGGGCAGAGGCGCCTCAGAAGCAGAGGGGGGGGATGAAGACGGCCCAAGGTCGAGCTTCTCTTGCTCTTCAAACTCCCTCCACTGGCCAACGTCCTTCTCGCCCTCAACCCCACTCTCCCTCATCCTCCTCCTCCTCCTCCTCCTCCTCCTCCTCCTCCTCCTCCTCCTCCTCCTCCTCCTCCTCCTCCTCCTCCTCCTCCTCCTCCTCCTCCTCCTCCTCCTCCTCCTCCTCCTCCTTCCAACCTCCTTCTGTCCACCATCACTGCCCTTCCTCTCTCCGTCCACCCCATTCCTTTTCACCCTCCTTCCCCCCCTCCTCCCCGTCGTCATCCCACCTTCCTTCGTTCCCGATCCGTCAAAATGTTCCGAAGATTTTTGAGGCAACGCAGGGGACTTATCTCTGCTCTTGAGACCATGCCGCTCTTCATAAGAAGTGGTGCCGTCCCTCCCTTCAACCCAAGCTCCTCCCATCTCCTCAGACGCTTCGTCACTTCCCCCAAGCTCCTGTCGCTCTTTAGTGACCTTGCTGCTTCCCCAGGACTCTGCCAGCAGGCTTGTTTGGTCCATGCGGGACGCCACGACCTGGCGTGCCACGTGCATGCCGTACACGTGGTGGCGCTCGCGGTTGATGATGTGGCACAGGTAGGCCGACGGCCACCGCAGCATGAAGCGCGTTGCTTGGGCTCGCCACCAGTGCGCCTGGTGGGAGGAGGAGGGAGGAGGGAGGCAGGAGGGGGAAGGGAGAGAGAAGTGAGAGAGGTTGGGCAGAGAGACAGGCAGGCCGACGGCCACCGCAGCATGAAGCGCGTCGCCTGCGCCCTCCACCAGTGCGCCTTCGGTTGAACGGGGAGCGGAAACAGAACGAGCAGGGCGAGGGAAGGGAAAGAAGGAGGGGATGCGGTTGATGATGTGGCACAGGTAGGCCGACGGCCACCGCAGCATGAAGCGCGTTGCTTGGGCCCTCCACCAGTGCGCCTGGTGGGGAAAGGGGGGAAGGGGGGATTAGCAGATGCACACACAAGGACGGCAGAACAGAGACGAATGCAGCATGAAGCGCGTCGCCCGCGCACCCCACCAACGCACCTGAGAAGCTTAAGGTCCGCACTAATCTGCACTAGTCTCGCCGTTTTGGGTCGAACCAAAGGTCACCCAGCGTTGAGCCGACTCAGAAGTTACCTCACCTTTTTTAGGAACTTGGTGTGCTCGCCCATACGCCCCATCACCTCGTTGGGGAGTGGACTCTTCAGATACGCCTTGCCCCAGAGGCTGCACAGCGGAAGGGAGAGAAAGGTGGGTATTGAGGAGGGGGAGAAGCAAGGAGGGGATAGGAGCGAGATGCAACCCTGGTGTGAGTGAGTGGGGCTCATACGCCCCATCACCTCGTTGCGGAGCGGACTCTTCAGATACGCCCTGCCCCAGAGGCTGCATAGGGGAAGGGAGAGGACGGGGAGACGCGGGGAGAGGATAGGAGTGGGATGGCCCTTGTGTGTGTGTGAGCGTGCTCATACGCCCTATCACCACATTGGGAAGAAGGGCCACGTGATTGAAGAAGTGTTTTGAGACGTCTCAAAACACTTCTTCAATCTTGTGTGTGTGTGAGCGTGGGATGGTCCTTGTGTGTGTGTGAGCGTGGGATGGCCCTTGTGTGTGTGAGTGTGCTCATACGCCCTATCACCACATTGGGAAGAAGGCTCTTCGACTCTCTCTATCCACACCAAACCTCGGCGTTGCTGGGAAGATCACAAGAGCATTCGAGCCTAGACAACACATACAGTCACACGGACTCGTTATAGTCACACACGTGCACATGCATCACTCACTCTGCAGCGGATGCGTTTAGCTGGGAGATGAAGTTCGACCCTCCATCCACTCCAAACCCCGGCGTTGCTGGGAAGATCACTAGAGCATCCGAGCCCAGACACCCCACACCGTCACACGGCTGCGCTACAATCACATCCTCGTTTGTCACGTCTCTTTTGGACTCCTCGCTATTATCACCAGTCCCATCAGCACCATCAGTTGTATTATCAGCATGAGACACCTGCGTGTGAACGACATCAGCATGAGGGACCTCAGCGTCCCCAGTCTTCAATTCTGCTTGCAACGCCTCCTCCCACCACCGGTTCTAACTTTCTCCCCTCCTTCCTCCTTTGAATCTCTCGCTCCTCCTTTACCACTGCCTCCTCCTCCTCCTGGTGCTTGCTCCTCTCCCTTGCCATTCTCTTCCCTCTCTTTTTCTCCCCTCTCCCTTTCTTCCCTCTCCTTCTCCTCGGCAGCAGCCTGCTGCTTCCTCTCCTCAGCAGCCTGCCAGGCCTGACGTGCCTTGAGAGCGATCGCCTCACACTCCTGGGATGAAAACCGAAAGAAGTAGCAGTCGAGCGACCCGCGGCGGCCCAGCTCTGAGAGAAGGCAAACGTGACGCAATCCAAGTGCATTGAGGTCGTTTTTGAGGTGCCTCAATTTTTGAGTCGACTAAAAAATCGACTCACTACACGCGGCGAGGAGGAAAGCCACGTAATGCAATCCAAGCGTGTGGGTGTGGGTGGAGGGGAGGGGACAGAGTGGGGGGCGCTTGGGTGGGGAGGAGGGACGATTGTGTGTGTCTCGTGCCTGATCAGCCTCTAAAGTTACTCTTAATTGCATTCCTCATGGTCATCCTGATACTACTCAAGTTAGTCCACACTACACTCACTAATTCACGCACTCACCCACCCACTGACTGACTCACTCCCTCACTCACCCACTGACTGACTTACTCACTCACTCACCCACTGACTGACTTACTCACTCACTCACTCACTCGCTGACTTACTCACTCACTCACCCACTGAATGACCCACTCACTCGCTCACTCACTCACTCACTCACTCACTCACTCACTGACTTCATCACTCACTCACCCACTGACTGACTTACTCACTCACCCGCTGGCTGACTTACTGATAGAATGACAAACCAGCTCGTTTACTCACTCCCACTCACTCTCGCATTCCTCATGGTCTGCTTGGGGCAGAGTGCCGGGCATGAGCACGAGAGTCCTGTTGTGCAGCAAGGCAGCACTCAGCACAGCGCCCATCACGTGCAGCTGCGACCCTATCCCGTGCCACCCCATGCTCCCTCCCTCCCGCGTTTTCTCACTCACTCACTCACTCACTCTCCAATTGACTGACTGCTAGAATGACAACTAGCTCACTCCCTCCTTCCCCTCCTCCCTCCCTCACCCCCTACCTCCCTCCCTCCCTCCCTCACTCACTCTCGCATTCCTCATGGTTTGCTTGGGGCAGAGTGCCGGGCATGAGCACGAGAGTCCTGTTGTGCAGCAAGGCGGCACTCAGCACAGCGCCCATCACGTGCAGCTGCGACCCTATCCCGTGCCACCCCATGCTCCCTCCCTCCCGCGTTTTCTCACTCACTCACTCACTCACTCTCCAATTGACTGACTGCTAGAATGACAACTAGCTCACTCCCTCCTTCCCCTCCTCCCTCCCTCACCCCCTACCTCCCTCCCTCCCTCCCTCACTCACTCTCGCATTCCTCATGGTTTGCTTGGGGCAGAGTGCCGGGCACGAGCACGAGAGTCCTGTTGTGCAGCAAGGCGGCACTCAGCACAGCGCCCATCACGTGCAGCTGCGACCCTATCCCGTGCCACCCCATGCTCAGCCACTCCACCACCATCACCCGCCGCCCCTTGCACTGCCTGGGCGGGAACTGCTGTCGCCATATGTCAGCTTGTGCTTGCCGGGTGGCTGCCAGGTTGGCAGCATCGGAGCCTCGGATCTGCACGAGGGGTAGAGGGCAGGGCAGAGGAGTAAAATACACGTAATCCTCACTATAATATGCCCTAGCCCGTGCTGTTAGGTTGGTATTGTAAGAGCCCCTGGCCTGAAGTACGGGATTGTGAACAGAAATAGCAGACAGCTTATTCGTTCACTTCACAGTTTTTCTTCAACAATTCTAGGGAAAAATGCACCACGAATGTAAAATGCTTGAAACGGAGAGATCCATCACAGTTTTACAGGCGCTTTAAGAGTCCACTCGAAATCACAAGTGCAGCACAGCACAGGACAGGATATAACTCCAGGCCCTCACCCAGGGGGGTTGGGGCACGTTGCCGCATGCAGGGTTGGGTACAGCCCAGTAGAGCGGCTCCCCCCGCTCCCCCCATTTCTCCGTGGACAGGCGGAAGGCTGTGCGCGCCTCACAGTCCTCCAGGTGGGGCGCGGGGGGGACGTCCGGGGGAAGCGAGATGGCGGAGGGGGGGAATGTATTCTCCGCCTGCAGCCCATAGGCGCTGTCCCATTGCTGGTTTGGGGGAGGGAGGCGGAGGGGTGGGAAAGTCCGTGGGGAGAAGCGGATTAGTGAGGATTAGTGAGGAGGAGAACATTAGGGGAAAAGAGATGGAGGGGGGTGGGGGGGAGGGGATAAGAAATTACCGCCTACAGCCCGGATGCAGTATTTTAAGTTAGAAGGGATCAAACGGGAGGTGCGAAAAAGGAGGCTCTTTCTCTTTAGGAAGTACGAGTGAGTTGGTTGGGGTGTGGGGGGAAGGAGGGATGGGGGGAAGGGGAAGAACGGCTGGGACGGGGAACACTGGGGAGAAGGGACTGACTGAGGCGATAGACTTTGGGCTGACCGAGGGTGCAAGTCTACTCTTCGTTCACAAATGCTTGCTACAGGCTGTGACGCAGATCCGCGATACAAGCATACCTGGTACAGGTTTCGGACAGCCTCCGAAAACGGATCTTCCTCAGAAGGCTGAACCGGGGCCGCTGCTCTCACGAGTCGTGCCGGGAGCGCAACGGTCATGAGAAGTAGAGAAATCGCAAGCGACACGCGGAGGAGGGTCATGGTCACACGAGCCGTGATCGTACTGTGACGGAACATATTTCTTGGCTAAGACGGGCCGTGAGGTTACGAACTAGTTTTTGCGATGGCTCAAAACATCAATGTACTGTGACGGATGCTTATATCTGGCTACGACGGCCTGTGAGGTTGCGAATTCTACCCCTCCAGCCGACCACGTCCGCGGTGCGCGCGGCTAAATGCGAACCACCGTCGCTCGGACCATATACGGACTAGCGACAATGGCCGACGGAGCTACGACACAGCTACGAATCCTTGGGTTCAGCGAACAAAGTTCTGCGATAGAAATGCTTTCAGACATAGTGAGCATACACCACGCGTAATCTGGACTCTGGATCAGCTTGACAGCAAAGGAGGCACCCGAGCTGACGGGTTACTGATAAACAGGAAACCGAGTTTTCTTGGGAGTTTTGGTGCTTTTAGGGTATAAACAAGGTCGGATCCGATTATTTCTGGTTGTTCGCTGGCTGCATTGGGAAGCAAAACGTCCTTCAGCACTCATTCAGCGCCGCAAAACGTGGAATGGACATGTCTGCGTGAAGCAAATCTACCAATGTTTAGAACGTCATTTACTCAGAAGGAGCATTCCATGGTCTGACGAGAACCGTCTTTCGCACTAACTAGGTTCTAGGAATGTCCATTGCTGGCACTTAATTTTCTGAGTTGGTTGAAAAGAGGTGTAGCCTGATGGCCAATCAGGTAGACTACTGGACTTTTGCTGACTGAAAAGAGAAGATGCTCTATTTGAGTACTCTTTTATTATGGATTAAGTTTGATACAAAGTCGTGGTAATTAAGATAAGGGGTATTAGAGGAAGGTAGAAATGGTGGAACAAAGACAGGGTGATAAGGAGAGAAGAGCTGGAGAAGAAGAGAAGGGCCGAAGGAAAGGTGGAAAGAGGAAAAGAAGAGAGGAAACTAAAGGAAGGAAACACCTAAGGACCAAAACACCACAGCAACCCGCACCACAGCGCGGGACACAGCCTTTCAAGCACAATCGCTAAACGCCTACACATATGCATCGTAAATATACTGCATGTCTGCCACGCTCTCAAAGCAGCCGGTAATGTGATGCCAACTGCCCTGCCCTGCACCCAAAGGGACTGGTGCGGGCATCCACCCATCGTCTGACCCTCCCAACTGCCGCACCGCGTGCTGTATAATACTCTGAGTCTGCGCTCGCTGCAGTGCCACGGAAAGTCGTGTAGTGAGTCCGGTCTCGAAAATCCGGGCTGACCCGTCATCCCCCCCCCCCCCCCCAAGTCTTTACGCCGTTGTGCAATCCGCCGCGCACAAAGCCCTAGAAACTGCCTTATTGGCTCGCTGAGCAACCCAAACGACTCCACTATACAAGCATAAAAATGTGGCGGCGGTTGTAATCCCTCTAGATGCGGTGCCCAATCCCGCAACTTGTCCTGCACTCGTCTGGCTGCTGCAATACCTATCTGCACTGGGGCCACTCGTCTAAGCCCGGTATTCCCCTGTTGCTGTGGATCTGCAATGGAGACGTCTACCAACACCATCAAAGTTTTTTCTATATCGCGGCAAGTCAGGTCTGGAATGCGGGCTGGTGCCCCTATGCGGCCTGTGCGTCCAGCCTGCCTTTGCTGCTGTACTGGCTGCTGCTGTGCCTGGTCCCTCTGTGCCTCCTCCCTTGTTGTCTCTGCCTCTCTACGCTCTCCCCCACCCACCTGCCTCCTCCCATCCCCTCTCCCCAACCCCAAACCCCCCAGCACCCTCGCCCTATCCCCCCCCTCCATACCCTCCCCTCTTAACCCCCGCGCTCCCGCAGTCGTGTCCCCCGCCACCTCCTCTCTCCCTCTCTCCCCGAACCAGCCCGCACCCAAGGGCTGGGTCGCCCCCTGGACCCAGAGCCCGACCTGCCCTTGCTGGCCATCCCGCTGCTGCCCCTGCTGTCCCCTCTCCTCTACCCCACTCGCCGGCCTCTCCTGCCCCTGCTGAACCTCCTGTTGCTGGCTGTGCTGTCCTCTCTCCTCTCCCCCACCAACCTGCCCCTCCTGCCATTGCTGGCCATGCTGTTGCTGTTGCTGCTGCTGCTGCTGCTGCAGCTGCTGCTGCTGCAGCTGCTGCTGCTGCCGCTGCTGTCCCCTCTCCTCTCCCCTAGTAGCCTGGCCCCACTGACCCTCCTGTTGTCGCCCCTGTTGACCTTTCTGCTGCTGCCCCTGCTGACCCTCTTGCTGCTGCTCTTGCTGTCCTCTCTCCTCTCCCATACTGGCCTGCCCCTCCTGCCCCTGCTGGCCCTCCTGCTGTCGTCGTTGTTGTTGCTGTCTCCTCTCCTCCTCCCAGCCAGCCTGCCCCTGCTGACCCTCACGCCGCTGCCCATGCTGACCCTCCTGCTGCCGCCCTTGTTGACCCTGCTGACCTCCCTGGTGCTGCCGCTGTTGCCCTCTCTCCTCTCCCCTACAAACCTGCTGCCGCTGCCCCTGCTGGCCCTGCTGCTGCTGCTGCTGCTGCTGCTGCTGCTGCCGCTGCTGCTGCTGTTGCCGCTGACGCTGCTGCTGCTGCCGCTGCGGCTGCTGCTGCTGCTGCTGCTGCTGCTGCTGTCCACTCTCCTCTCCCCCACTAGCCAGCCCCTCCTGCCCCTGCTGGCCCCGCTGCTGCTACTGTCCATGCTGTCCCCTCTCCTCACCCCTACGGGTCTGCCCCTCCTGCCCCTGCTGGCCTAGCTGCTGCTGTTGCTGCTGCTGCTGCTGCCGCTGCTGCTGCTGTCCCCCCTCCTCTCCCCCACTAGCCAGCCCATCCTGCCCCTCTCGGCCCTCCTGCCCATCAGCCCCTCGACCGAGCCCACCCTGCTGCTGCTGCTGCTGCTGTCCCCACGGTGCCCCTGACTGTCCCGGTACCCCGTCCCCCGTCCCCGAGAGTCCATGCAGTCATGCTCTAGCTGCCTCCAGGTGCAGAATCAAAGTGGTGTCCTCCACCTTCACCGCGAAACCTGCCTTAGAAGCAAAGTCCCAAAGCATGTATTTCACGGCATCGTGGATGACCGTGGCGACGCCGAAGCGGGAGCACCGCACCACGTGGTGAGGTACCGTCATGTCGTCGATCGCCTGCCCACAAGAACACCGACCTGTGAGGGCTAGTTGGGGGATAGGGAGGCCGAGACGGAAAGCTGAGGCTTGGGGATGCGCAGCGAGTCTCCGTACAGCACCGCCGTCAACCACGCGCCTGCACCTGCGCCCTGAAGGGATGTCCAACGGGCAAGGTGCAAGGGGTTAGTGTGACGGGCCCGGACTGACTCCAAGGCCCGCGCCTCCAAGACGCGGCTCACTCCTGTGAAAAGAGAATCAGGGGCAGCAGAGACACAAGAGTGCCAGGGGGGGAAGAGAGAGAGGATGTCACGTGGGAGGCCCTCCAGCGCCGTCCGCAGTGATCGATCGATCTGGTCAACATCATCCGATGCGAAGCTCTGTCGGAAGCTCGCGCCGCACACTGGGAGGGAGCAAAGGATCGGCGCGCACTGTACCCAAGAGCACGCATAACTCACCGGGGCGATACGCTCCATGCGTCGGATGCCAAAACCCCCTAGACGTATGGGGAGGTAGATCTGGTCCAGGGCAGCCTCACGAACGTCCTCTCTGCAAGTCCAAGTCCCAGGCACCAGAAGCTACTGAAAGGTCTCCCCCAACCGCTCATCCCACCGTGCAAAACTGGCACGTACAGTTGGGGTCGGAGGGACCGTCCTCGCCAGATACTGCGGTCGCGTGCTGACGCATGCCGAAAGTAGACAGGCCGCTGTCTGGGGCTGGCGCAGTCTCGGAAGCCACGGCAACACGCGCCCCATCCTCTCCAGACGCTCAGGTAGGCTCCTCTCCACAAAAGCGTCAGAGCCCACCGGCACTCCCGTGACGGTGAGTCCTCTACGAGCGACCTCAATCCCCAGACTCGAGAAGGCCTCCACCTCCCTGGAAGTCACAAAATCCATGCCGTAGACGTGTGGCTGGACCGCAAGGCCCAGCTCGCGCAAGTGCCTCAGAATCTCTGCAAAGTGGTGTAGCACCCTGGAAGGAGGGCCCAGCACGTAAGTGTCATCTGCGTATGACCATAGCTGGACATCGCCCTCAGCTAGAACTGGCTGTAGAGCCATGCGCTGTGTGAGTGCATACAGGAAAGGGCTGAGCGGGTCGCCCTGACGGGTCCCGCGCTCCGAGTGAATGGTGGTCACCCCTCCATTCGCCCGGCAAAGGAGATCAGAGGGTGTCCCGTAGAAAAGGCGAATGAAAGGAATAAGACAGCGGAACTCAGCACTAGTGTAGAGGGCCTGGAACATGGCGTCTCGATGAAATGAGTTAAAGGCGTTCGCCACGTCCAGCTGAAGAACCACCCAATCAGGGTGGTCATCCAGGGCGCGACGAACGCCTCTAACTACGACCTCTGTCCCACAGGTAACGCCCACCCCAAACTGCTGTGACGCGAGGAAAACTCTAGCCATCTGGTCCCGCAGCTGCAAGCATACTGCGCGAGAAAGGATGCGAATCAGAACCTCACTTATCGCGATAGGACGCACATCCAGGTTCGGTTTCGCGAGAGCGACCAGGGTGGACGATGCCAATAGCGACCGAGCTGCCGGGGCGCAGTAGACTCGCAGCCAAAGCTGGTACACGGCGAGCAGGCTAGGGAGGCTCTCAGGAAAGGCAAGGAAAGTATCTCGAAGATGCTCGGCAACCCAGCCTGTCGGTCCTCCGGACGACCCGCGCGGGGCTGTGAAGATGGCGCGGCGGAGGTGATCCATAGAGAGCACAAGGGCAGTATCCTGGAAAGTCGGTAGCCAATCTGGAGTCGGTCGCTCTGCGACGGGATGCTTGCTCCGCAGACGTTGCATCGTACTCTCCGTGTCAGGTGCCGCCTCTGCCGACTCCAGGGCCGCGCAGGCCCGTGAGGTCTCATTGCAAGCCGAAGACGCAGGCAGCGGGCAATGCGACGGTCATCCGGTGTGGGGGAGAAGGTGGTGGCGCGAGCGTGTCGTGCTGCTCGTAGAGGAAGGGGGGTACGTCGATGTAGGGCCTCAGAGATGAGCTCGTCCCACTCACCTCGTCCAAAACGGATGATGCGCGCTGCAATGGCGGCCGTGTTTGAACGCTCTGGCGGTGTCGCCGGAGCCAGTAGGAGCGTCGGTGCCGCCGCCAAGAGGAGAGTAGGGCCTGGTGCCTCTGGGTCCTGGGAGACCCGTGCTAAGATGGCGCAGAGGATGTCTAGATACCCACCACGGACCCTCGGGGGGATACGCCGAAGAGGACGGACATGAATGCGCTCCGGGGCAAAGTACTCCAACCACCGGACGGAGTCAAGCGAACGCCACTGTGCATCTGTGAACTGCATCCCCTAGGCTCGGGGCTCTGCTAGGGAAGGTAGAGCTGAGGCCCTGTCGCGGAGGGCCTGCGCCCTGCGAGCTGCGTCGGCAGGGTGGCAGAATGGCATGTGGTGTCGGAGTGCTCGGCGGTTCGCGAGGGAGCTCAGGCATGTGGGGCACCTCACGACCTCGTCTGGTGACGTCGCTGTGTCGGTGGGGTCGGCCGTGGCCGTGCCCTCGGAACTATCTGCCGTGGTGATAGGTGGGGCTGGTGATGGGGATGGGTGGGGTGAGGCAGGCAGCAGTGGTGCACCTACATCTGCGTCAGAGGCGCACGGTCTGAAGATCAGATCGGTCTCCATCTCCGTCAGATGTGTTGGGAACAAAAAATCTTAAGCGCCTCTGTCGTGTCGAAACACCAAGGCACAAGCGAAGCAGAGCATATCGAGGCACCAGCGAGTCAACCCTCGGAGGTTGAAGTAACCGCTGGAGGTTACGCGAAAGTCAAAGGTCAGCGACCTTTGACTTGACAAATGCAGCGCGACAGCAAGGACACACAACTGACTCGACATTGAGCAGTTGCCCGAGTCGCACTGTATCAAACCGCAACAGTAAAACAGTTTAATTATATCTCTTCGTATTCTTTGTACTCTTATATAAACCTTTGTACTTGCTTGTTTTAATCAACTTACTTTGCCCTCACATACCAGCGCAAGGTGGTTCAAGGACTTCATTTAAACGCTTCCGCTACTACATCACTCTACCCAGAGTTTAACCCTACCAAAGATCCTAAGGGGCACTCAGCCCAACATGGTATGAGAGCTGGTTAGGGTTAAAATTATTTCTCCTTAACACCTAATACACCAAGAGACATGTCTACCAGAAAGGAGAGGAGCTCCTCCAACGGCTCTCCTGGTACTACTCCTACTCCACCTCCTGCCTCTGGCCTACAGACAGAGGAAGGCACAACAACGAGACCGGCAGCTGGGTCTACTGAAACACCCGCAAACCAAGGCGCGGGCTTCGATCCAAGCATGATGGAGAAGTTCTTCTCCTTCATGTCCTTCTACGAGCAGCATCAGCAAGGAGCACCTGCGCAATCAAACAACAGCAACAACAACAACAACGTGACGCCCATGAGTCTCGATGGCTCATCCTACGCACGCGAGAATCAACAACAGCAACCTACCTTCGCTCCGTACGAGCCCCAGCGCGGCTCCGTCAGCTTCATGCCACCACCACAACCTGCACCGGGACAAGAGAGAACGCTGGACGCACTACAAGTTCAGTCGCAGTTCGCGCACGTTCTAAAACTGCAAACGACAAAACCCTTCGACGGGAAGGATTTCTTTACCTGGTCGTTCGAATTCGAGCTGATGATGGAAGGAGCGCAAATCCTTGGCTTCTTCGACGGGTCCCTGCCATACCCAACAAACGGCACACAGTATGAGAAGCAGCAGTACACCTATCAATCGATGATGGCGTACACGATACTACTGAGGAACATCACTACAACTCAACAACAAAACATACGGTCTTACCGAGGCTACGGCAACTCCGCGGAGCTCGCGTACAATCACTTGAAGAGCCTGTATCAAGCAACAGACAGCGTAAACCAAAGTCGGTTAATGGCGCAGCTGACAACAATCGAAATGAAACCAGGCGAGAAGGGAATGGCGTATATCAGTCGCTGCCGCGAGCTGCGCGACAAGCTTCTTCGATGTGGAGGATCGATTTCAGAGGACGCCTTCGTCACGGTTGTCATCGGCGGTCTTGGTCCTCACTGGCGCTCCACTCGCGCCATACTACGAGCCCACGGGAAAATTTCTGAAGCAGCACTTTGCGCCGAAATCCACGCCGAGCAGCAAGACATGGACATGCAAGAAGAACGACACAAGAGAAAGGTATCAGTGCCCGAATTCGCGTTTCACACTCAACGGCGCCACAACAACAACAACAATCGACCGAAAATCGTACCTCCGTTCTGCCACCTCTGCAAGACTTCAGGGCATCCTCGTACGCACTGCCCGAATCGACAACAGTCAACGTCGCCGCAACGCCAACTTCGCCCTTCAAGCAGTCAAGTCGCCTCAACGCAAGCAAATCCGACAACTTCAGTACAAGTCTCAACAACATCGACGGGACAACCTGCGAAAGGAACAAGAAACATCGTCAGCTGCATGGCAAGGCTGAGTGACTCCTGCGTAACTGAGTCACCACCATATTACTCACCAGAAGAACAACTCGACAACAGCACGCCTCGCCGCGAGTCACTTCAACCGAACCCGACGTACGCCGCCATCGCTCAAAGCGAGCCGTCCGGGAAGGATACATGGTTCTTGGACAGTTGCTGCGGACAACATATGTGCTCTTCAGGACGTTTCGTTCAACGCGAGCACCAACTTCAACGAGAAGTCGTCATCACTGTCGCCAATAATCAGAACCTGCGCACACGACGACAAGGAGTAGTGCAACTTCAGTCACGAGAGACGAATGTCATACTGCAAATGTCCAAAGTCCTAATAGCAGAAGGACTTGGCTACAACTTACTGAGCGTCAGTCAGTTGATGGCGAAAGGCATACATCTGGAAGCCGACAGTACCACCCAGGAGTTCAAGCTGTACCACGGGAAGGGCGGCCTCTACATCGGAAAGGCGGTCCTGAAGAACAATGTCTTCGTTCTCGATTTCGTCCCAGACCTGGGCACCGCAGACAGTGACGGGATCGTCACCTTCACATCTTGGACGCACCCGCCGGATCTTGACCCCGACTTCAGTCCGGAAGGCTTTTGGTATTCACATACCATTCCTGAAGCAGAACGAACACGTGCGTTAGTAACAATACAACATTCGGCAGCAGCAGAGACAACATCGGCAGCAACAGAGACAACATCGGCAGCAGCAGAGACAACATCGGCAGCAGCAGAGACAACATCGGCAGCAGCAGAGACAACATCGGCAGCAGCAGAGACAACATCGGCAGCAGCAGAGACATCATCGGCAGCAGCAGAGACATCATCGGCAGTAGCAGGAACAACAACAGTAGCAGCAACAACGACACCACTCCTCGTTGACAAAGCACCACCAACACCCGCACAGCAGCTGAATCCGGCTCAACGGGAAGTCCATAGAAGCGCAAACTTCACCGCCAGCTTCTACTCCAACTCCGACGCGTATCGACGCTCACCCGGACACCACGCCTCCGAAGACATCTGGCACGCACGCATGGGACACCCAAGCAACACTGTGTTAAACAACACAATAAGAGCAGGAGTCCTTGACAAGGACTCGTTACTACTACTCGACGGCAGAGAACTTCAACGGGCACGAGGAACATGTCTTACCTGCCCCGAAGCCGACTTACCACATCGGCCGTTCACTCCTCATCACAACCCGAGCACACCCGCGTACGCACCACTCGAAAAGGTGTATAGCGACATCCTGTACAATCGGGAACCAGGACAAGTAATATACAACTACACAATCACCTTCATCGACGCCGCCACCCGTTACGTCTGGCATCTAAACCTACCCAGCCGCGACATGGTCCTCGAAGCGTTCGCTGCTTGGCTACCAGTAGCAGAAAGAGAGTCGGGCGTAAAGCTGAAAAGCTTCCAGTCTGACGGAGGAGGAGAATACACCTCTCAGCGATTCAAGCAGTATCTGGCGGAAAGGGGAATCAAGCAGCTCCTCTCTCTTCCCTACGCCCATCAGCAGCAAGGTGTAGCAGAAAGAATGAACAGGACTCTGCAGAACAGCATGCGCAAACTGTTGCGTGGCATGCGGCTACCCAACCACCAGTGGCCTGACGCGATGGACCACGCTGTCATGCTGCACAACTTGCTCTCATCTTCATCACTACCGAACAACGCATCACCGCATCTGCTGTGGACAGGAAAACAGGGCAGCACAAAAATGTTACGAGTGTTCGGATGCATGGTACAGTACCGACCCCCAGCAGCACGAGCGGGCCGATTTTCACAACGCGCACAGTGGGGACTACACCTCGGCATCGAAAAGAACTACAACGCGTGGAAAATCTTTGACGTCCACTCCAAGGAAACAGTAGCAGCACGCGACGTCATTTTCTACGAACGACTCACGCTCCAGACATACCTTGCCAACCTGCAAGAGGACCAAGATCCCACAGGTGGTTTTCGTGGTGACCGAGCCTTCGCCTCGGCAGCAGACGAAGCTGACTGGGACGAGCAGAATGTGGCCAACGCATCAGAAGAAGCTGGACCCCTTCCGTTCTGCTCCGTCGACGTCCCCATGGACGAAGATAACCCTCGCGAAAGTGTCAACGCCGAAACCTTCTACTACTTCGCCGACAACGGTTACGTAACACCTGCGACAGTCAACACCAACGAAGCAGAACGAGTAGGACCGAATTTCATACCTGATCCAGAAGCGGGAGATGAAGCAGCTTATCCCGAGGATGCAACTCTTCCCCGCTACTCACAGACTGGACTGCAGATTCTCGGACTCGTCACCGCAGTCCACGGCAACACTCTTCCTAAGGAGCCTGCGACGGTTCAGCAGGCTCTGGGGGGGGAACACAGGGAAAAATGGCGTGAAGCCATGGACAGAGAGTTAAAGGCGCTGGAGGAACGGAACACCTGGAAAGTTGTCCCCATCAGCGTGGCAAGGAACAAGACCATTCTCACCGGGAAATGGGTCTTCCGCGTTAAAACAAAAGCAGACGGCACAATTGAGAAGTTCAAAGCACGCTGGGTTGTGCGTGGATTCGATCAGGAGCACGGACGGGACTTCACCGAGACATTCGCCCCGGTTAGCCGACATACCTCACTTTGAATCCTCCTCGCGATCGCCGCCATGAAGAAAAGGAAGCTACGGCAAATCGATGTCGCCAACGCGTTCCTCTACGCACCTGTCGACGTGGAAATCTTCGTCGAGCTCCCACACGGTACCAACGGGGAACCTAACCAAGTCTGTCAACTGCTGAAATCACTTTACGGGATCAAGCAAGCTCCGCGGCTATGGCAACAGTACCTACACGCTCGCCTCATTCGCATCGGATTCCGCCAACTACCTCACGACCAAGGAATGTACCGACTCACTAAAGACACCGACTACATTCTGCTGATCGTCTACGTAGACGACCTACTCTACATCGGCTCCACTGACGACATCACCACCTGGTTCGAAGGGGAGCTACAGAGGGACCTCACACTCACGGTCTCCTCTACCGTCACACAGTACCTCGGCTTGAACATTCGGGAAGAAGAAGGCGCGATCTACCTCAACGCCGCTAAGTACGCCGACACCATCGCCAAACGCTTCGCGCTCACACCTACCACCATCTCTACGCCCTACCGCTACGCGACAGGAAACCACAAGGAAGGATCCTCTCTACTCAAATCCGCCGGGATACGCGACTACCAGAGAAAGCTAGGATGCCTTCTCTTCGCAGCTGTCACCTGCCGCCCCGACCTCTCATACTCCGCAAGCCAGCTCGCCACCTACCTCAAGAAGCCTGAAGCAGAACACCTGGCGGAGCTCGACCGCGCTCTCCACTACTTCGTCAGTACCTCAACGATCGGCCTAACTTACTACAAGAACACAACTACACCGACTAAATTAATCGGCTACGTCGACGCTGATCATGCTGGCGACTCCGACAACAGGCGCTCCCGCACCGGCTACATCTACCGCCTCGAACCTATCGGACCGATCTCCTGGCAATCGAGCAAGCAGGAATTAATTGCTCTCTCGTCAGCTGAAGCAGAATATATTGCACTCTGCTCAGCCACCAAGGAAGGACTCTATCTTCGCGAGCTGCTGGAAGAAGCGAATGTGAAATTGAACGAGGATGAATGACTAAGGGAAAGTTGGGTACAAATGCAAACCCTAGAAAACTGTACCCCATATGTGCTACCCCACTATAGCCTACAGTAGCTATGTCATATAAATCTGACACACCCCCATAGGCAAAGTGGGGGAGAACAAGGGGTCACAAGACCAGTCAAGCAAAGCAAAGCAAGCTCAGGGTGGATCACAAAGTCACCACACATTCCGAGCACAAGTTCAAGGCCACAAGGCCAGTTCACATGCAGGATGACACATATATATATAAGGCTAGACAAGCAAGAGCAGGCATATATATATATGCAACAGTACAAACAAGGTCAAAGGGTGAGCAAGTGAGGCAAGGTAGGCACAAGACCCAGCTGAGTACAGAAGCGCTGATGATCACAAGGCGCAAGTGCCTTGGTGAAGATATCAGCAGTGTTGGCCTGAGAGGCCACGTACGCAAGCCACAGCTGACCACGCTGTTGTAGCTCACGAGCAAGGAAGTAGCGGAGAGCAATGTGCTTCGTTCTGTGCTCCAGTCTCTGCTCTCGACACAAGGCCAGCATGGCCTTGTTGTCTACGTACAGCACTGGAGGAGAACGAGGCGGCTCTCCGAGGTCAGTCAGCAGGTAGGTGAGCCAGCGAAGCTCCTGTGCAGCCATGGCCCCAGCGTAGATCTCAGCCTCACAACTGGAGCCGAGAACAGAAGACGAGCGGGTAGCCCGCCACGAAACAGAGCCGGAACCAAGGCTGAAGGTGTAACCCTGTGACGACCGCTGCGTAGCCTGGTCGTCAGCCCAAGAAGCGTCTGCGTGCCCAGTGAGGACCACTGGACTCTGCCCTCCAAGCACAAGCCCCATGCCCGACGTACTGCACAAGTAGCGCAACACCCTCTTCGCTGCAGCCATGTGCTCCGGTCTGTGTCTCCCAGGAGCAACATAGCGTGCGAGAATGCTAAGAGGGTATGCAAGGTCAGGTCGTGTGCAGGTCATCAGGTACATGAGGCAGCCAACAAGCTCTGGGTACGGGCCACTCGACTCTATGGACTCATCCGAAGGCAGAGCTGAGAGCGAGTGGCGAGTAGGCAGAGGAGTGGCCTGAGGCGAGGAGTACGTGAAGCCGAAGCGCTGAAGGACCTGCTGCACCATGTGTGACTGAGTCAGGGTAATGGTGCGGCGTGCTCTGTCCCGGGTGATCTGCAAGCCAAGGTAGCTGCGCAGTTCACCCAGATCTGTGCACGTGTGTCTCTTCTGCAGCTCGGACTTCACGTGGGCGAGTCCAGCAGTGTCAGCTGTGGCAAAGACCAAGTCATCGACGTACACGAGGATGTAGAACGGCGGCAAAGAGGTGTCGGTGCGTAGAAACAGCGACGGGTCGGCAGTAGAGGGAGCAAACCCAAGAGCCGCAAGTGTAGTCCTCAGTGTGTCGTGCCACTCACGCGGTGCCTGGCGGAGACCGTAGACTGGCCGCCGGAGGCTCCACTGGGTGCCAGGAGGAAAAGACCCAGTGAAGCCAGGTGGGCGACGCAGCCAGATCTCCTCGTGCAGGTTGCCCTGCAAGAAAGCAGTGCTGAAGTCAAGAGAGTGCAGCTCGTAGTCGCGGTGAGCAGCTATGTGCAGCAGTACCCGAAGAGTGGTCATCTTCGGGGTGGGAGAGAAGGTCTGAAAGTAGTCAACTCCCTGCCGCTGACTGAAGCCACGAGCCACGTAACGCGCCTTGAAGACAGGCGGAGAACCCGGCGGCCGCTTCACCCTGAAAATCCACATGCCACTGACGATGTTCGCCCCAGGCGGGGGAACCTCGTCAACGTAGGTGCCTGTGGACTTCCAGGAAGCCATCTCTGCGTCCATAGCTGCCTGCCACTGAGAGGAGTAGGTACCCTCTATCGCCTCCGCGTAAGAGCGCGGAGTCGGGATGTCAAGTGCATTCGGGTCTCCCTCAGGGGTAAGCAGTACGGACACGAGATGAGGTGAAGCAGCAGCCAAGCACTGGAACTCCTCCTGCCTGTCCTCAAGGACGTCCGTGCCAAGGGCACACTCACCCCCGACGGACGGAGGACAGACAGACTCAGACTCAGCAACAAGACTAGCAGCGTAGTCGAGACGACAGCGAGCAGCAAAGTCGACGAGCTCAGTAACTAGGGCAGACGCAGCAGTGGACTCAAAGGAAGGGTCAGTGACAACAGTAGCAAGGAGACGCGCGACAGTAGGACTGGCAGCACGAAGAGAGTCCGACTCCGGGTCAGGAAGAGCAGGAAGAGAGGACTCAGGAGGAGAAGGCAAAGGGGCACGCAGAGGAGCAGTGGACGGACGCAGAGACATCCGGTGCGTGCCAGGGACAGGAGGAGGACGCTGACGCGAACCACGACCACTAGTGCGAGCAGCACGGACAGGCGACGCAGGGCGAGACGCAGGCTCACGACGCTCAGCAAGACCTCCAGTAGGACCAGTGTAGGGAGAAGGAGCGGGCAGTGAGGAGGCCGGCTGTAACTGTAACTGAGTCGGGACAGGCTGTGGACACTCTAAGGGAGGAGGAGGACCAGTAGAAGGCGGGAGACCAAGAACCTGCTGAAGGAGCGGAACGAAGTACGGCCGAGGCCGCGCGGCGACTCCAGACACAGCAGGGACAGCACCAGCACCCCCAGCGGCAGCACCAGCGCCAGCAGCACCTCCAGCTCCAGTACCTCCAGCAGCACCAGTAGCACCCCCAGTAGGACCGCCTCCAGGACCGACAGCAGTAGCCTCAGCGCCACCGCCCTCAGCAGCTCCAGCTCCAGTCGTACCCGCAGGCCCAGCAGCTCCAGTACTCCCAGTACGAGCACCTCCGGGACCCGCGGCACCAGCACCCTCAGCAGCCGAAGAACCTCCAGCTCCAGCACCACGCCTCCAGCGCCGGGCAAACCACTCGCGCAGCTCCTGTGGAGAGAGTGGCTCCCGCCGAGACGCCACACGAGCAGGCCCAGCTCCCGCAGGCTCCGTACCCCCAGGCTCAGCACCTCCAGGCGTAGCACCCCCAGCCTCAGCACCCCCAGGCGTAGCACCCCCAGGCTCAGCACCCCCAGGCTCAGCACCCCCAGGCTCAGCACCCCCAGTAGTAGCACCCTCAGGCTCAGCACCCCCAGGCGTAGCACCCACACGCTCAGCACCCCCAGGCTCAGCACCCTCAGCAGCACCAGAGTCACCAGTAACCTCGACAGGCTCGACTGCGTCTACCTGGGACACACCTGAAGGGGCAGGACCCTGAGGGGGGAGGGGGTCTACCGGGGGGGGACCTGGCACAAGGAAGAGCGGTGGCGGGGGGAGGGACGGAGTGCGGTAGGGGAAGAGGCGGTAGTAGGGGACCGACTCGTCAAACGTGACGTCCTGGGTGGACAGAACACGGCGAGAGGTGGGGTGGTAGAACTGCCACCCTGGCGCGTCAGGGGGGAAGCCAAGGAAGACGCAAGGAGCAGCACGAGGGGACAGCTTGTCCGCAGACAAGTCGCGGACAAACGCCCGAGATCCCCAGACACGGAACGCAGACGCATCGCCAACCTTCCCCGTCCACAGCAAAGCTGGGGAGGTCTCCGGCATGGAGACCCTGGGGTGAAGGTTGATCTGATGCGCCGCGTACCGAACAGCAAACGGCCACAGAAAATGGGGGGCAGCCGAATGCATCATGGACGTACGGGCGACGTCCATGACCATGCCAATGCGGCGCTCAGCAATCCCATTTTGCTGTGGAGAGTCCGGAAGCGTGAAGGTCTGGCGGATACCTCGTGCACGACAGTAGGCTCGCAGAAGGCCAGAGGAGAACTCTCCACCTCTGTCAGAGTGCAGACGCTGAACAGGAAAGTCCGAGCCGAAGCTCTGCCTGAGCTGGAGACGAGCTGCGCGGATCCAGTCGATCAACACCTCAGTGACATCACCCTTGCTGCGCAAGGGGAAGACTGTGGTGTAACGCGAGTAGTCGTCAACCACCAGCAGGAAGTAGCGCTCGTGACCCTGTCCACGGACGCGGGCCGGGCCCCACACGTCCATGTGAAGCGTCTGCAGCGGGGCCTCTGTCGGAGGAAACTGGGAGGAGTGAGGGGCAGCCCGCTGTCGCCCCTCGACACAGGGGACGCAGGAAGGGCCAGGCCCCGGAGGAAGGGGAGGGAGGGACCGGGGAAGACCAGAGACAAGGACACGGGAGGCCATGCCTCGGAGACAAAGCAGGGAGGGGTGACCAAGGCGGTGGTGCCAGAGGAGAGTCTCGTGAGACAGGAGGCGACACGAACAGGGGGCAGACTCAGGACCAGACCTGGACGCTGCAGCAAACACCTGACCCGACGCAGCTACCTGACCAGACGGAGTGACTGGAGGAGACGCAGTGGTCAGTGTGTACAGGCTCGACCCCGGCCGACGAGTAAACGTGGCCAGGTGTCGGCCTGTCCGAGCGTCCGTGCAGTGGGTCACCCGCTGACTCGCAGGAGTGAACTGGTGAACCCCCGCATCCTGTAGGTCAGCACCACTCACCAAGTTCGTAGAGAACGAGGGGAGGTAAAGACCAGACAGGGTGCCAGAGGGGGCCGCCGGACACGGGAGGACAGTGGAGAAGTGAGCAAGGACAGGACCCCCAGAGGGGTCTGCCAGAGAGACTGCAACTGGCCGGTCAAGCGGCGTGAGTGTGGTGCGGTCTCGGAAGAAGGAGCGAGAAGCCCCCGAGTCAAGGGTGAAGGTGTGGGAGGCCGAAGCCGACGCAGAACCTGAGAGAGCAGACTCACCAGCACCTGAGGGAGCAGACGCACCTAGAGCAGCAGCCTCGCTAGCACCTAGAGCAGCAGCCTCACCAGTACCTAGAGCAGCAGTCTCAATGCCCGGGTCGGGCGGAAAACACCGGTAACAGTCACCCTCATCACTAATAGTCACAGTATACATGGCAGCAAGAATAGCATCAAAGTCAAGGTCAAAGACAGCTACACCCGCCCTAGACAGCTCACCCCAGCGGGGGATCTCAGTGGCCTCAGGGAACTGGTGACGCCAAGCGTCCGTCAGGCGGCCAAAGCAGCGCTGGGTGGAGTGCGCACCCCCGCACTGCTCACCCGCGCGGTCGCCGGTGCGTAGGACGTAGGTGCACGGACCAGTACCCCCACCCCTCTGGCGTGCAGTGTACCACTCACGGAGCTGCTGAGGGGAGGGGATGTCACGAGTGCGCTGCTGCTGCTGCTGCTGCTGCTGCTGCTGCTGCTGCTGCTGGCGCTGACCACCACCGGAGCCGACCCTCTGCGCAGCGCCACCCCGACCAGCTCCACCTCCTCCGCCGCCTCCTCCTCCACCGCCGCCACCTCCGCTCCCACCGCCACCGCCGCCGCCGCCTCCGCCTCCACTGCCGCCACCGACCCCTCCACCCCCGCCACCACCCCCACCGCCACCCCCACCCCCTCCACCGCCTCCACCGCCGCCTCCACCGCCCCCGCTAGCTCCTCCAGCGCCCCTGCCCCCCTTGCCCTTGCCAGGGCGGCGTCTCCCGCTAGGGGTAGACGCTGCACCAACCGACTCCAGACCAGCGAGGTCGGCCGCAGCAGCAGAGGCAACAGAGGGCAAAAGAGGGGAGGGGGAACACCCCTCAAAGATGGGGGTGCGAGGGTCACCACGAGAGGCTCCTACAGCTACTATGCTCTTTTCTGCTGCTAGGAGGGCCTTCTCGAGGAGGTCAACGGTGAGAGTGGTGGGGCAAACCGAGAGGAAGTGGTCCCTGACTACGCGAAGGGAGTCAGGGAGACGGGTGACTATGTAGTAGAGGGTGATGTACATGGGGGGGGGGTTCTTGGCGCAGAACTCAGCAGGAAGCGCAGCGCGGTAGCGAGTGTCACTAGTGCGGAGGTGCGTAATGAGGTCAGCGACTGTGGGAAAGGCAGCAAGGTCAGGGAAGAGGTACGGTAGCATGAGGCGGCTCAGTGCAGCAGTGGCAGGGGAGGAGTAGCGTGCAACTACAGCGTCGTACAAGGTCTGAGCACTCTTGTACTGGCTAAAGTGCGCACGCTCAGAGGTAGGCAGGTGGCGACGCACAGCAAGACGTGCAGCAGCATCGCGCGTGGCCCACTGGGAGCGAACAGTGGCGTCAGCATCAGCAGCGGGGGCAGGAGAGGCACCAGAAGTGAGGTCAAAGAGGGAGAGGCCGTCTGCCCTATCGCACTGTAAGAAAAGCTGCAGGTCATCTATCCAGACTTCAAAGTCAATGGCCCGACCCTCAGCGTCAAAAGCGAGGACACTAGGGGTAGCCATGACAGCAGTAGACTAGCAGCGCAGACAGTAGGGTGAGGGCAGTGCTGTGAGAGAGGCGCTGCTCTTACCGGACAGGGCGGCTCGGGGGGGGGGGGGCTCGGCTGCAGGGCGGCGCGGCGACCCGGCGGCTGGGCGGCTCGGCTGCAGGGCGGCTCGGCGACTCGGCTGCTCGGCGGCTCGGCGGCTCGGCCGCTGGGCTGCTCGGCGACTGGGCGGCTCGGCTGCTGGGCGGCTCGGCTGCTGGGCGGCTCGGCGACTCGGGTGGCTCGGCGGCAGGGCGGCTCGGCGGCTCGGCGGCTCGGGTGGCTCTGCTGCTGGGCGGCTCGGTGGCTGGGCGGCTCGGCTGCTCGGTTGCGGGGCGGCTCGGCGGCCCGGCGGCTCGGTCGCTGGGCGGCTTGGCGGCTGCGGCTCCTGATCAGGGACGGCGGAGGGGCTGGTGGGAGGCGGCGTCGGAGCCGGGAAGGGCGGCGCCGGGGTCGTAGGAGCAGAGGCCGGGGTCGTAGGAGCAGGCGCCGGGGCCGTAGGAGCAGGCGCCGGGGCCGGAGGAGCTGGCGCCGGGGCCAGCCGAGGTGGCGTCGGGGCCAGGAAGGGCGGCGTCGATGCCGCTAGGGCGGCTCACGGTGGGCCGACGGGCGGCTCGAAGGGCCGCAAGGGCGGCAAGCGGGGCCGACGGGCGGCGCAAGAGGCCGCTAGGGCGGCGCGCGCGGGGTCGGTGGGGCCGCTGTAAGAGGCGGCGACGGGCCGCGAGGGGGGGAGGCGGCAACGGGCCGCAAGGGGGGGCGGCGACGGGCCGTAAGGGGGAGGCGGCGACGCCGCTGAAGGAGGCGGCGACGAGCCGCAGAAAGGGGCGGCGCGAAAGGGCCGCGAGGGCGGCGCGACGGGGTCGTAAGGGGGGGAGCGCGACTCGGGCAGAGGGTGAGCGCGTTCCGGGCAGGAAAAAAAAAAAAAAATCGGTGGGCCCTAGGAACAGTTCCCACAGGGGAACCTGCTCTATACCATGTGAAATTGAACGAGGATGAATGACTAAGGGAAAGTTGGGTACAAATGCAAACCCTAGAAAACTGTACCCCATATGTGCTACCCCACTATAGCCTACATTAGCTATGTCATATAAATCTGACAGCGAAGTTAGCCGAGTTACCCAACTTCACTCTGTTCTGCGACAACCAATCTGCAATTCACATCGCCAACAAAAATGGATTCGCGAACAGAACGAAGCATATCGCTCTGCGATATTTCTTCGTGAAAGACGAGATTGAGAAGGGGAGACTTGAACTATCCTACTGTCCCACGTCCGAGATGGCAGCTGACTACTTGACCAAGAAGCTCGGAAAACAGAAGTTCGAGTACTGCATGCTGCTGACTGGACAAAGCCACGTCACCAGCAGCGACACTCCAGAAGCGAAGGGGAGTGTTGGGAACAAACAATCTTAAGCGCCTCTGTCGTGTCGAAACACCAAGGCACAAGCGAAGCAGAGCATATCGAGGCACCAGCGAGTCAACCCTCGGAGGTTGAAGTAACCGCTGGAGGTTACGCGAAAGTCAAAGGTCAGCGACCTTTGACTTGACAAATGCAGCGCGACAGCAAGGACACACAACTGACTCGACATTGAGCAGTTGCCCGAGTCGCACTGTATCAAACCGCAACAGTAAAACAGTTTAATTATATCTCTTCGTATTCTTTGTACTCTTATATAAACCTTTGTACTTGCTTGTTTTAATCAACTTACTTTGCCCTCACATACCAGCGCAAGGTGGTTCAAGGACTTCATTTAAACGCTTCCGCTACTACATCACTCTACCCAGAGTTTAACCCTACCAAAGATCCTAAGGGGCACTCAGCCCAACAAGATGCTCTATTTGAGTGGTTGTTAGTCTGTCGCGAACCGATTGACCTCGCTAGAATTCGCTACTCGCAGAGACGCGCAAACTAAGGCTCCGCGAACCTGGACGAATTATTAAACTGTTATTGACCTAGGTGTGCATCGCGAACAATCGGTACAAGCTCAGAGCACCAAGCAGTCTCAGCAGAACAGCTGTGAATATACAGTAGGTGGCGTTTAATATGAAATAAACAGGGCAATGTATTTTATTAGAACCAGAAGGCACACAATTACGTGTATATATAACATAGCAGGAGCTACATACTCCAGCACACTGTATCTTACAAATCCATAACATCTGTATAATAGTCTAAGATAGACTTCCATATTATCCTCCCATCCCATAGCTTCCTGCCTGTGATGTGATGATCTTGTTACTGTACCTCCCTGACTTCCTCACTGAATGATTCATCCTCTCTACTTTCCTCCTCACTCCCTCCCTACTCCACTCTTCCTCGCTCTCCTCCCTCCCTACCACTCTCTCCCCCTCATCCCCTCCCTTCTTCCACTCTCCCCAACCCACTCCCTCTTCCAACCACCAACGGTGCCTCCTGAATCTTCACAGGATCATCCCCCAAGATTACCTGTCCAGCAGAAATCGGCATCAGGCAAGAGGACGAAAGAGTGAGTCTCAGTTCGCCGACCAGCAGGAACGTGCCCCCTACAGCAGCTACAGGAGCACCGGGCAGCGGCCCCGCCACACTCCGCTGCAGCAGGCACCGTCTTTTTGGGGCAGGTTGCTGGTCAGCTAAAATGTTTCGAGGAGAATCAGTGAAATGGCTGTCAGGGGGATTAGTTGGAATGCCCTGAGAAGAGTTGCTGTTGGAATATGCTTCTATTGTCCTGTGCTGCTGCTGTTGCTGCTGCGGCTGCTGCGGCTGCTGCTGCTGCCTCTGCTCCACCCCTCCTTCACTCTGCCTCCTCGCCCGCTTTGCTCCAAGGGATCGCATCAGCCGTGAAGCTAACAGAGACCGGTTGTGCGCTTTGTGTGCTTCCTCCCGGCCTGTTGCAGGCACAGTCTGAGAATTAGGAGAATTCTGGGAATTCTCAGGATTCTGAGGATTCTCAAAAGGTGCCTCCCGGGTTATTGCAGGCCCCGCCTCTCGAGTTGTTGCTGCAGGCGTGCTTTGGGGATTTTGTTGCTGCTGCAACAGCTCAGGTTGCTGAGGATTATGGTAACATGCATCTTGTGTTCCCTCCTGCGATGCTCGTGCTGCAACCTGTGCCTCCACAGGACAAGGTGTCTTCCGCGAGACTTCAAAGCATGGCGTTTGCGTTGCCGCAGTTTGGGGATTCTCAAGATATGCCTCTTGCGTAGGCTCCTGTTTCGGTGTTATGTACACCTGCTCTCCCTTTAAAGCGGGAGAGAAAGCTGGAGTATGTGCGGGTTCGAAAAGGGAGAGTGAGAGAGTGGACAGGGGGAGGTGAGAGGCGGATGGCTGAAGAGGGTTTGACTTTTGAGTCTGCTCAAAGGAGGAGAGTGAGAGTGAATGAGATAAGGGGAGGTGAGAGGTAGACGGTGGGGGAAGCGGGGGTGACGTTTGAGACGGCTTAAAAGAGGAGAGTGAGAGTGAATGAGATAAGGGGAGGTGAGAGTTAGACGGTGAGGGAAGCGGGGGTGACTTTCGAATTAACTGGGAAAGTGAGAATGAAGACGATGGGGGGAGGTCAGGGTTAGACGGTGGAGGGAAAGTTGACTTTTGAGGCGACACAAAGGGGGAGAGTGAGAACGAGGATGAGGGGGGGTGAGAATTAGACGGTGGGGGAAACGGGGGAGACGGCTGGTGAGGTTGAGAGGGGCTAGGGGCAGTGTGGGCGAGGGAGAGAGAGAGAGCAGGAGGAGGTGAGTGTGGTGCGGGGGAATGATTATAGTTAGTGGATTGGTGTATTGTTGAATGCTGGGCCACTGGGAAGAGAGGAGCAGGAGTTGAAGTGGAGGGAGGGGAGGCATGGAAAGGAAGAGGTGACTTTTGAGTCGACTCAAAAGTCACCTCGAGAGGAGCCGGAGTTGAAGTTGAGGGAGGGGATGCATTTTGAGGCGCCTCAAAATACACCTCACTGCACGAGGGAGGGGAGGCATGGAAAGGAAGAGGTGAGGAGGGAGGAAGGAATGATGAGGGAGGAAGGTGTGTAGAGGAAGGAAGCGCTGAGGAGGGATGGGGGAACACATTCCTATTTGACTGGTAGCTGAGAGGATGCTGGGGTTGGTGAGAAGGTGGAGGAAAATGCGGGAACGGGGTGTTGGCTGCTGCTGCTGCTGCTGCTGGCGGTTGAGAGTCTTCACCTGCTACCAGCATTGGCTCATGTGAGCCCCAGTTGGTGCTGTTAGCAACAAGTGGCAGTGGCGCTGCTGCTGCTGCTGCTGCTCGTTCTGCTGCTGCTGGTACCGATGCAGACAACCCCAGATGCATACCCTTCATTCTCCATTCCACATCGTTGCATGCTCTCTCCTCTCCCTCTTCCTCCTCCTCTCGCTTCTCCCCTGTCTCCTCCCCCCTTATTTCCATCGTCACAGTAGGATTCTGAGACGCGAAGGCGGCTGCTTGTTGTGTGGCTGGCTGTACCACTGCCGGCTGTAGCCCTGCCGGCTGTAGCATGCGTTGCCGCTGCAGTGTTGCTACTTGTAGTATGTCCGGCTGCAGCATTGTCTGCTGTAGCGAAAGTGGCTGTGCCCTAAACTCTCTTTGCTTCTGCTCCAATCCCCTACCCCCAAACCCATCCACCTCCATACCTCCAGTAGGTTTTAGGGTTAACCCTTCTGAATTCACATAAGCATCCAAGCCTCCTGTTGACCTTTGAGACTTCTGAGACTTCTCAGAAACCGCCATGATTCTCTCTTTGATCTTTGAGCTTCCAATAGGTTTCTGAGAGTTTTCAAAACCATCCATACCTCCCTCGTCCATTGTTCTCACTCTCCCCCTCTCACTCCATTCCCCCACACTCTCTCCTCCTTCCCTCCTTCTCCCCTCCTCTCTCCCCTCCCTCCTTCCTTTACCAGCACTTCTGATTTCCCCATCGCCCTCTTCCCCATTACTCCTCTCCCTCTCCCCCCTTCTGCTCTCGCTCCTTCCCCCTCTGCTCTGCTGCTCCCCTCCTCTGCTCCCTCTCTCCCTCTCTCTGCTCTCCCCCCTTCTGCTCTCCCCCCCTCCGCTTTCCCCTCCTCTGCTCTCCCCCCCTCCGCTCTCATTCCGGCCCCCCTGCTTCAGCGACTGGATATACCGCAGGAGCACGTTCGATCGACCACTATACGCTCCCCTCCCCACACTCCCAACACTACCAGCACTACCAGCACTCCCAGCACTGCCAGGCCTACCGTTCCCTTTGCCCTCTGCCCCGCCTCGCCCCATTTCCTCCTTCCTCCGGGCTGTGGAGTTCCAGTGGTTCTTGACGCTGTTGTCTGTTCTCCCCGGTAACAGTCTTGCGATCTCAGCCCATCTGTTGCCCAGCCGCTTGTGAGCCTCTACAAAAGCTCGCTCCTCCTCTTCCGTCCACGCCTCCTGTGAGCGGCGCGTTGGGAGTAAGGGAACAAAACAAGAGAACATAAGGGAGATGAGAAGACCGAACTCCTCCAAACTGTTGCGTTCCGGTGATTCTTCACTTCACACTGTTATCGGTCCTCCCAGGTAGTAGTCTCGCAATCTCAGCCCATCTGTTCTTGCCCAACCTCTTGTGTGTGTGCCTCCACGAAATCACACTCCTCCTGCTCTGTCCCGGCCTCTTGCTATTGCTCACTCCACCATTCCCGTTAGTTCCACCCTCCCTCATCATCGCATTATCACTCGTTATAACCACCTTCGTTATGCCCCTCTTGATGGTTGTGCCACCGCTCCCAACAATGCTTCCCTGCACGCCCAATCAAGTGCGCTGCTACAGCCGTCCACCCCTTGGCTCACTCCTCCATTCAATCCCGTTAACATCACCCTCATCACCCCATTATCCTCGTTATAATCACCTTCTTGATGCCCCTCTTGAGATGGTTGTGCCACCGCTCCCGGCACTGCTTCCCCGCGCGCCCATTCAAATGCGCTGCTATGGCCGTCCACCCCTTGGCTCCGCCCCTCTCCACCAGCTGACGCAACAAAGCATCCTCCTCCTGAGATGGATGTGTGGAGGGATGAATGTAGCAAAAGACAAAAGAGTGGATCATTCAAGTGCGCTGCTATGGCCGTCCACCCCTTAGCTCCGCCTCTCTCCACCAGCTGACGCAACAAAGCATCCTCCTCCTGAGGTGGATGCAGAGATTAGGGTTTGAGGTTAGAATGGTTTGTGTTGTGTGTGTAATCATTGAAAAGTGTACGATCACTGCTACGGCCATCCACCCCTTGGATCCGCCTCTCTCCACCAGCTGACGCAACAGAGCATCATCCTCCCGTGATGGAGGGATGTGGCGTTTAAAGGGTTTCTGCATAAAAATGCAGAGAGACAAGAGGGAGGATCAAGAGATTGGGGTTATATCCGCCCCTTGGCTCCGCCCTGATAAATCGCTACAAAGCGTGACTGAAGGATGGATGGATGGAAGTAGAGATTTATCCATCCATCCATCAGTCACGCTCTCCCTGCCTGAGCGTTGATTCATAAAATTAGGGTTTGAGCGTGACTGACCAACGCTCTCCCGCTCACAGTTTTCCCGCTCGCATTCTCCCTCTCACAAACACCCTTCACACTCTCCCTATCAGAAACTCCGTTCACACTCCCTCTCACAATTCACACTCTTCCTCTCACGAACTTCCTTCATATTCTTCCTTTCACACACTCCCTCTCACACTCTCCATACAAAACGCTCCATCTCACACTCTCCCTCTCTCACTCGCACACTCTTGACATTCTCCCTCTCACACTCTTCATTCACTCTCTCCTTCTCACACTCGTCACACTCTCCCTACTGTAGCCCATTTCCCCTCGCTTTGCTAAAGTCACGCCCATTACATCCCACCAAGTTCCACTCTCCTTCACCACATTCCACCCTGCCATACCATTTCCACTCCCCCTCACCCCACTGCACTCCTCCCTAATTCAATCCAAGCCCTCCTACAGTACATTAATCCCTCCGCGCACCACTCAAAATCCGCCTCACCGCATTCCACCTCTTCTCACCGGAGTCCATTGCCCTTTGGCATTCGTGCTCGCTTTCTGCTGCTGCCCCTCTGCCTCCCCCTCCCCCTCCCCTTCCCCCTCCCCCTCCCCGTCCCCGTCCCCGTCCCCGTCCCCGTCCCCGTATCCCCCATCCTCGGCTCCGCCCCATCCCCCGCGCAAATCTTCCGCGCTTTGCTCCCCCGCAGATCTACCGACTGTTAAACTGGGGACGCCGCCAGTTGTGCGGGTTTTCCACAGGGGCGGGGTCGCCGCCGCCACCGCCGGGGCGCCGAAAATTCCGCCAAATCCGCCGCCACCAGTCGGCGCCGCGCCTTCGTAGGCAGCTGACGAACCGGAAGCAGCTACGCTCGCGACAGGCGAAAAAAAAGGAAGGCCTGCGCGGCTTCCGCCAACCGCTGACGGAACCGGCGGGACGGAGGACACCGCCGCCCCCGCCGCCGCCGTGAATAGGAAGCTCCTTATCTGGTTCTGCGAAGAAATTTCCTGTTGCGCTGCGTTGACGTGTGACTGCGGCGGATGCACCGCCGCCAGCGGCGGCGGCGGCGGCGGCTGTTGATGGTTGTGAAACATGAGCAAACCCTCTTGTTGTCTACACCCCAGCGGCAGGCAACTCTTAGTAGACAAATACGCTTCCCCTGAAGCGTACGTGCCGCGGAATCCGCCGTCAAACGCGCTCCCCGTGAGGTTCAATCTGGCCCCGCCGACGCGGCACGGTTCCTGAGATGGAGGCGTCTTGAGATCTCGGAGCGCGATTGTCGCTCCTGTGGCGCTGACCATAGCGCGGGAAAAGCGGCGGCTTCGGTTAGTAGTCCGGTTGTAGCGAAAGAGCGCTTCGGGGTCACTTCGAGTGAAATACCAGCAAGGGCGAAACACCACCTTCAAGGTCACTCAAAAACTCTTCAGGCGCCCGAGAAGAAGCACTGGTTGTAGCATAGTCGGCTAAGAACACTTAAGACCAACGATGGATGAAAAGACGGCTTCAGGGCTACTGAAAACAGCGAACAAAAAAACCGTATCGATTCCTACGAGCGCGGTGCGAGCCATAGCGGGACGAGTTCCTTTGAAGATGATACTGTATCGGACGTTTGGCTGAATAATCGACGCTGTAGGGCTTGCCCAGCACGACTTGGCAGGTGTCTCCGAGACCTCGAGACAGCGTGGAGAACAGATGGCATGAACTGGCTAACGTGCTGTATCTGGCTAACATGCTTGTTCATGCCATCATGAACTGGCTAACATGCTTGTGGAAGAACGTGAATGAGTGATGACAATTCCTCCAACCAAAGCCTTGCTTGCGGGTGATGACGACGACGACAATCCCAAGGCATGACCATTCCAATGCATGACATGACAAATTGAATGTACAGTACATTACAGAACGAAACAATTCACCTTGGCTTGACAATTTGACGATTTCTAGGTTCACTGTTCATGCCGTTTGGTAGGTGGCTGTCCAGGCTGTATTGTGTGAGGTGAGTAACGGTACTAGGCGGTGAAACGTTTCGAAGTACGTGTACAGTTCACGGTGTCGTACTGAGCCACTTGTTATTTGTGTGGTTGATACGAAAGCCTTGTACGGGTTTGGGCCGTTTTTTTTTTAGTACACCCTCATTCTCGTTAGACTGGCATATGTTATACTGACCGAGACGCTTAGTGTAGCCGCAGCGGACCAAAGAAGGTCCTATCACATGCGTTATACTGACAGTTTGACCCAGGGCGTTTAGTCAAGGTTCTATACGTTCTAGAATGGTACTGCTGTTTTCTAAACGGTTAAGACAGTTATTCAGCGTTAACGGAATTTTACGGCCCAAGTCTGGTTTCGTCGCCTCGTGCGACTTGGCCCGCAACCGAGTTATCTCACCAGCCCGCTACGTCCAAACACTGTAGCCACTGCTTCCGCCGGTGAGAAGACTGAGAATGAGGGTGTATACATTAATGAGGACAATGCATACAACAAAAGCAGTCGTAACTGTGGGCCGTTTGGCTCGGTCCGTCGGGGTTTGACAAACCAAGTGGTCGAAAATGCGTGGTCTTCGCACATTCTGCTCACGTCCTCGTTACCTGCCCTCAGCCAGTCAAATTCTGTTCCAAGGCAGACTCAACGCAAGCCATCACCATGTCCTTGGGTCATTTTCTGTACTGCACCTTGCTCTGGTCTTGTGAACTGAACTGTTTCGGCATGCGGAACAAAATCTCCCTTCAGCTTCGTTCCTTGAAACTACGAACGGCTCCTTTTGAAAGGTGGTTCGTGCTGTCTGGTGCAAAGTGGGGGCCGTAACGATATCCTTTGTCTGCAAGTCAGCAGCATTCTCCACGATACCTTCTGTACGCACACAGTGCAAAGAAGTACAGATTTGGATTGGAATGAAATGCAAATGACTGAGGGAAATTGTTCTGCACTTGCAAGTGGCATTGCCAGACCACAAGCCAAATCTCGGGGTGTGGTAGTAAGTTGCCGACGGCTACACCTCAAATCTTAACACCGTACTAGTGTTAAGGAAAATTCCTTTTCCTTACTTCGTGTAAGGAAAATTCCTTTTCCTTACTTCGCGTCCCCGCTCAGCGCGTACACCACTGTAGCACCACATTCAGCACCGTTACCACTCGCAACCCTCGCATCGACAATCCTCCCGCCACCTTCGCACGTCGCACGCCGACCTCACGGTTCGGCGGGTAACCCGCGCTCCGGGCCTCCGCTTCGACATTTTCCCCAACCTCAGTCCCAGGCCCGTCGCGCGACAACCACTGTCCATTACCGTTACCACTTTAGTTTCGCTATATATTCTTCGCTCATACCTTCGCTCATTGTACTCTTGCTTCGATAGTGCAATTCTCGCTCGCTCACTAAATTGCACTCGTAACACTTAGTATTCAGAGCCTACGATCTCTTCTCGGACCGCACCCACACCTTCGCTTCCCCACTATCTCAATTTTTTGGGGGGGGTAGACGTCTCTCAGCGACACAGCACCGCCGCTCGTCGTGCTCTCTCGTAAGCACACACGGCCACGACAGAGGCTCTCGCTGAGCTCGCCCGACACCCCCGCCACGGCCGAATTCACGCTCGCGACATTGACGCAGGAGCAGCTCGACCGTCTCGTGCGTCAACTCGAGGATTCGGCACTCGAAATCGCGACACTCACGGCGGAACGTGACTCCGCTCGCCAGCAATCCACGGTGAATGCACCAGCTCCATCACAAGCACCCGCAAATGTACCTGCGCAATCAGAAGAACCGATCGTCATCTCATCAGGCACACCGACGCAAAACGACAGCGTGGGACAACGCTCAGGCGCAGCCAGTGATGGAGCCGCTCAATCAATGCCTGGCATGGAGAGAAATCGGGCCGCGCCAAGCCCGCGTGGGCCTCGCGAAGCTCGACGGCACGTGGAGTTTGCAGCAACAAGTGGCAACCACGACATCATGGCACCAATGCCACTCAAGCCGCAGCGCCCGCCCTGTTTCGATCCAAGCCAACGTGGAGGTCCGACGGTTCAGTCGTGGGTTTTCACGATGAACGTTTTCTTCGACGCGAATTACGTCGAGTCGGACGCAACGAAGTTTCGCTACGCTGTTTCGCTGCTGAGGGGCCTCGCCATGGACTGGTGGCGAGTCATCGTGACGTCGCCACGTGCCTACGAGCCACCGTCGCAAGAGGAAGGGCCCACGGGTCCAGCCGTCACCTGGAGTTCATTCTGCGAAACAGCCCAATACAGCACGTGGGATGCGTGGTGCGCAGGGCTTCGGGCGCGCTTCGAGCCGATCGCGGCTTCTATTTCAGCGCGTCAGAAACTGCGTACTTGGCAGCAGCTCGGGTTGGTTCAAGACTACACGAGTGGCTTTCTCGCATTATGCGAGCAAGTCGGCTACATGCACGAAGCGGAGCGGGTGGACCGTTACGTCGGAGGGCTGAAGCCGGACATTTCGCACGAGATCATGCTACGCGGGCTCTCGAACTTCAACGAGATTCTCGCGCTCGCCGAGAAAATCGACATTTTGCGCCGTCCGAGACCAGGGTCCTACTACGGACATCGTCCTCGGGGACCGATCGAGCACGCCACCGTACACACCGTTGCGACGAATGCAGCTGCCGCACCGTTTAAGGGGCGCTGCTTTGCTTGCAATAGGCCGGGCCATCGCAAGAGTGAATGCCCAGAGGAGCTAAGGCGCCGCGAAGCAGAGCAGGGGAGGGAGTCTCCAAGGCAGGGAAACGCCAGCAGTCAGTAGGAATCGGGCCAACTACTGACGAGACTGCCTGCTCGCCCAACCCCACCGACCCTCACCGAGTCACAGTACCGATTCATGCTATCGATCGGGCTCGGACGAATAAGGAGGGTACAGTGACGGATTGCCCAGTACTGATCTACGGGAAAATACAGGGAGCAGCAGTGAAATATTTTTATCGACGGAGGAGCAAGTCACAGTTTAGTTAATACCGCAACCGCCCGCAAACTGCAACTGACACTTAGCCGTTGTTTACCTGAGATAGACGCACGCTTAGTCGACGGCACGCCACTGGCCATACGGGAAAAGGTGGAGAGAGTCAAAGTCCGCTGCGGGGGGAATTTCGGATTTACACAGGAAATGCTCGCAACGACACTTGATGGGCACGACATTTTACTGGGACGTGATTGGCTGCGACGGTATAACCCGCGAATTGACTGGACGACGGGTAGCTGCACTGTGCGAAGTAGTGGTAACTGGGTCGAGCTACCTCGCTGGCAGTCGCCCGAGTCTTCAACGGTACACGTCAATGCCGTCACCATGAAACGGGCTGTCGCTGCTGGAGCTGACGTGTACGCAGTAGACATTGCAGTGGTAGAGGGAGCAGAACAGCCGAGTGATTTCAAGAAACTGCTGGCAACAGTACCGCCCGAACTGCAGGAACTGTTGAAACGATACCCCGGGATTTTTTGGCTCACACGCACGCTCACACGCACGCTCACACGCACGCTCACACCCACGCTCACACGCACGCTCACACCCACGCTCACACGCACGCTCACACCCACGCTCACACGCACGCTCACACCCACGCTCACACGCACGCTCACACCCACGCTCACACGCACGCTCACACCCACGCTCACACGCACGCTCACACCCACGCTCACACGCACGCTCACACCCACGCTCACACGCACGCTCACACGCACGCTCACACGCACGCTCACACGCACGCTCACACGCACGCTCACACGCACGCTCACACGCACGCTCACACGCACGCTCACACGCACGCTCACACGCACGCTCACACGCACGCTCACACGCACGCTCACACCCACGCTCACACGCACGCTCACACCCACGCTCACACGCACGCTCACACCCACGCTCACACGCACGCTCACACCCACGCTCACACGCACGCTCACACCCACGCTCACACGCACGCTCACACCCACGCTCACACGCACGCTCACACCCACGCTCACACGCACGCTCACACCCACGCTCACACGCACGCTCACACCCACGCTCACACGCACGCTCACACGCACGCTCACACGCACACTCACACGCACGCTCACACGCACGCTCACACGCACGCTCACACGCACGCTCACACGCACGCTCACACGCACGCTCACACGCACGCTCACACCCACGCTCACACGCACGCTCACACCCACGCTCACACGCACGCTCACACCCACGCTCACACGCACGCTCACACCCACGCTCACACGCACGCTCACACCCACGCTCACACGCACGCTCACACCCACGCTCACACGCACGCTCACACCCACGCTCACACGCACGCTCACACCCACGCTCACACGCACGCTCACACGCACGCTCACACGCACGCTCACACGCACGCTCACACGCACGCTCACACGCACGCTCACACGCACGCTCACACGCACGCTCACACGCACGCTCACACCGAAAAAAGACGGGGGTTTTTGCATGTGTATCGACTACAGAGCACTGAACAAGGTAACACTCAAGTCGCGATACCCCATTCCCCGCGCCGACGAACTGATAGATCAACTGCGAATAGCACGAGTCTTTTCGAAAATTGACTTACGCGGAGGTTACCACCAGATTCGGGTCGAACCATCGGACTGCGTAAAAACAAAATTTAGGACTAGGTATGGGTCATTCGAGTACACCGTGATGCCATTCGGGCTGACCAACGCACCGGCGACTTTTCAGATGACCATGAACGAGGCGTTTACGCCGCTCTTAGATAAATGTGTGATATTTTACCTCGACGACATCCTAGTTTACAGTCGGGATAAGCAGCAGCACTTAGCAGGTCTGGAAGCAGTATTTAAGGTTTTAGACGAGCACAGATTACTGACCAAGGGTTCCAAGTGCGAGTTCTTCCAGGATAGGTTAGAATTTTTGGGGCACGTTATTTTGGAGGCTGGAGTTGAAATCGACCCAAAGAAGCTGGACACGGTCAAAGCGTGGCACCCCCCGACGAACATCACGGAGCTGCAGAGCTTTTTAGGGTTCGTTAATTATGTCCGTCGGTTCGTCCCCGATATGGCACGGTTAACTGCCCCACTGACGGATTTACTACGGAAAGGGGTCGCTTTTACGTGGGGGGAGAAAGAGCATGCTGCCTTCTCTGCCCTGAAAAATGTTCTCTGTTCACCGCCCGTCCTACGCATCGCCGATCCACACCGCCCATTCGAAGTAGTTACCGACGCAAGCGACATCGCCATCGGAGCCGTACTGCTACAGGACTTCGCATACGAGTCACGAAAACTGCATCCGCCCGAGAAAAATTACCCGATACACGACCGCGAAATGCTTGCGATCGTGCACGCGTTCAAAGTATGGCGCTGTTACTTGACCGGCGCAGACGTGACAGTACGGACAGACCATAAATCACTACAGTACCTTCGCGCACAGCCACACCTCAACCCACGACAGATTCGCTGGCTCGATTTTCTCAAGTCCAACTTTCACTACACGGTCACTTACAAAAAAGGAGCCTCGAACATCGCCAACGCACTGACCCGCCCCACTGCCCAGATCCACGCAATACTACTCGCCCAGACCAGCCCACTACTGACAGGCCTATTTACCCACGGGTACCAGACGGATCCATTCTTACAGGAGGAAATTCGCAGCAGTTCGCAGCAGCAAAGGGAGTCTATTACGTAAATACCGGGACCGACCGCATCTGGGTACCTGGGTATACACTACTACGAGAATTACTGTTACAGGATGCACACGACGGAGTTACCTCGGGGCATTTCGGGGTAGAGAAAACACGGCAGCAGCTGCAGCGGTATTATTACTGGCCTGAAATGTTGACCGACGTACAACGACACGTGGCATCGTGTCCCACTTGCCAGCTCATGAAATCATCACGTCAGCGGCCGGCAGGACAGTTGCAGCCGAGACCACCCCAAGAGCGTGCTTGGCAGCAGGTGACGATGGACTTCGTCACGGGGTTACCGGCCGGGGCGAGTGGGAACGACGCGATTCTGGTCGTCGTCGATCGGCTGACGAAAATGGCACACATCGCAGCATGCAAAAAATCAATCACAGCCGAAGAAACAGCACGCCTCTTCATCTCCACCGTCGTTCGACTGCGCGGGATACCAGCAGCAATAATCAGCGACCGCGACACGAAATTCACCAGCAACTTCTGGCGGAACCTGTGGCAGCAGTTCGGCATGCGACTACAGTTCAGCTCTTCGTACCACCCCGAAACTGACGGACAGACAGAACGGACAAACCAGACCATGGAGCAGCTCATCCGAGCCACGTGCGACGACCCGACCACGTGGGAACAGCAACTACCACTCATAGAATTCGCGTACAACAACTCACCATCCGCCACGACCCAGCAGTCACCATTTTACCTTAACTACGGACAAGACCCGACAGTACCCATTGTCAGAACATTATAGCTTATGCTGTTGTGTAGGCTATAGTGGGGTATCCCATAGGGGGCACAACAAATTAGGGTTTCATATTTGTACTCACTTCATTTCATAGTTCACCCATTCTCGTTCTCATTCTCACATGGAATCAGAGCAGGTCCCCTCCTAGGGACTGTTCCTTGGGCCCACCGAAGCGCGCCTCGAGTCGCGCCTGCCTTTTTTTTTAGCGGCCCGTCGAGTCGCACCTAGCGGCCCGTCGCGCCGCCCTTACGGTCGCGTCGGGCCGCCCTAGCGGCTGCGGCGCGCCGCCCTTTTCCCGGCCCGTCGCCGCCCTTACCCGCGGCTTTGCGCCGCCCTCACCGGCGGCTTCGCGCCGCCCCTACCTGCGGCTTCGCGCCGCCCAGGCCCGTCGCCGCCCTTCCCGCGGCTTCGCGCCGCCTCTACCTGCGGCTTCGAGCCGCCCCGGCCCGTCGCCGCCCTTACCTGCGGCTTCGCGCCGCCTACGGCCCGTCGCCGCCCCTTTACTGCGGCCCCGCCACCCGTCTCAGCGGCCCCGCCGCCCGTCTTCGCGGCCCCGCCGCCCCTCTCGCTGCGGCCCCGCCGCCTCTCACTGCGGCCCCGCCGCCCTACTCAGCGGCCCCGCCGCCCGACTTCGCGGCCCCGCCGCTTCTCTCGCTGCGGCCCCGCCGCCTCTCTCGTTGCGGCCCCGCCGCCCTTCACTGCGGCCCCGCCGCTTCTCTGCAGCGGCCCCGCCGCCCGTCTTCGCGGCCCCGCCGCCTCACTACCCAGCGGCCCCGCCGCCCTACGTCAGCGGCCCAGCCGAGCCGCCCAACAGCAGCGCAGCCGAGCCGCCCAGCAGCAGAGCAGCCGAGCCGCCCCGCCGCCGAGCCGCGCTGCAGCCGAGCCGCCCGGCCGCCCACCAGCCGAGCCGCCGTGCAGCCGACCGCCCAGCCGCCGAGCCGCCCAGCTGCCGAGCCGCCCAGCCGCCGAGCAGCCCAGCGGCCGACCCGCCCTGCAGCCGAGCCGCCTGAGCAGCCCTGTCCGGTGAGCACAGACCCTCTGTCACTGCGTGCTCTTCCCCTACTCCTTGCACTGCTGGTCTACTGCTGTCATGGCTACCCCTAGTGTCCTCACTTTTGACGCTGAGGGTCGGGCCATTGACTTTGAGGTCTGGGTAGATGACCTACAGCTGTTCTTACAGTGCGATAGGGCGGACGGCCTCTCTCTCTTTGACCTCACCTCTGGCGCTTCCCCTGCCCCTGCTGCTGATGCTGACGCCACTGTTCGCTCCCAGTGGGCCACGCGCGATGCTGCTGCACGTCTTGCTGTGCGTCGCCACCTCCCTACCTCCGAGCGTGCGCACTTTAGTCAGTACAAGAGTGCTCAGACCTTGTACGCCGCTGTAGTCGCGCGCTACTCCTCCCCTTCCACTGCTGCACTGAGCCGTCTCATGCTGCCGTACCTCTTCCCTGACCTTGCTTCTTTTCCCATCGTTGCTGACCTCATTACGCACCTCCGCACTAGTGACGCTCGCTACCGCGCTGCACTTCCTGCTGACTTCTGCACCGCGAACCCCCCCCCCATGTACATCACTCTGTACTTCCTAGTCACTCGCCTCCCTGACTCCCTTCGAGTAGTCAGGGACCACTTTCTCTCAGTCTGTCCCACCACACTCACTGTAGACCTCCTCGAGAAGGCCCTCCTCGCGATAGAAAAGAGCATAGTCGCTGTAGGAGCCTCTCGAGGTGACCCGCGCACCCCCATCTTTGAGGGGTGTTCTCCCTCCCCCCTGCTGCCCTCTGTTGCCTCTGCTGCTTCGGCCGACCTCCTTTGTCTTGAGTCGGTCGGTGCGGCGTCTGCCCCTAGCGGGAGACGCCGCCCTGGCAAGGGCAAGGGGGGCAAGGGAGCTGGAGGAGCGGGCGGTGGAGGTGGAGGTGGAGGCAGTGGGGGGAGTGGGGGTAGCGGTGGAGGTGGAGGTGGGGGTGGGGGGTTCGGTGGCGGCAGTGGAGGCGGAGGCCGCGGCGGCGGTGGCGGTGGTAGCGGAGGTGGCGGAGGAGGCGGCGGTGGAGGAGGCGGTGGAGGCGGCGGCGGCAGTGGAGGCAGTGGAGGCAGCGGAGGCGGTGGAGGCGGTGGGGGTGGCGGTGGAGCTGGTCGCGGGTCTTTGCAGAGGAGTGGCTCCGGTGGTGGCTCGCGCCAGCAGCAGCAGCGTGGTCGTGCGACCCTGTCCCCTCAGCAGCTCCGTGAGTGGTACACTGCACGCCAGCGGGGTGGGGGTTTTGGTCGTGTACCTACGTCCTGCGCACCGGCGACCGTGCGGGTGAGCAGTGTGGGGGTGCGCACCCCACTCCGCGCTGCTTTGGCCGCCTGACGGACGCATGGCGTCACCAGTTCCCGGAGGCCTCCGAGATCCCTCGCTGGGACGAGCTGTCTAGGGCGGGGGTTGCCATCTTTGATCTGGACTTTGATGCTATTCTCTCTGCCATGTATGCTGTGTCTATTAGTGATGAGGGTGACTGTTACCGGTGTTTCCAGCCCGATCCGGGCATTGAGACTGCTGCTCTAGGTACTGGTGAGGCTGCTGCCCTAGGTGCTTACGACGCTGCTACTCTGGGTGCTGGTGTGTCTGCGTCCTCAGGTACTGGTGAGTCTGCTCTCTCAGGTACCGCGTCGACTTCGGCCTCCCTCACCTTCACTCTTGACTCTGGGGCGTCTCGCTCCTTCTTTCGGGACCGCACCACACTCACGCCGCTTAGTCGGCCGGTTGCGGTGTCTCTGGCTGACCCCTCTGGGGGTCCGGTCCTGTCTCGTTTCTCCACAGTCCTCCCGTGTCCGGCGGCTCCCTCTGGCACCCTGTCTGGTCTCTACCTCCCCTCGTTCTCGACGAACCTGGTGAGTGGTGCTGACCTACAGGATGCGGGTGTCCACCAGTTCACTCCTGCACGTCAGCGAGTGACCCACTGTACAGAGGCTGGCACAGGCCGACACCTGGCTACGTTCACCCGTCAGCCGGGGTCGAGCCTGTACACTCTGACCACTGCGTCTCCTCCAGTTGCTGAGTCTGG